CTTTCTTCCTAGTCTGTCTTTGTTTTGTAGCTCATCTGAAACCTTTCCACCATGGGTGACCCTGCTGGTTATTCAAAACACCGGTGGCATAGCCCTCAGAATCACAGCAACTCAAAACCACCACAGCACGACAGACAGACGAGTGGTGGCCGTTTGGTTTTATGTCTATACTGTCTCTTTAAATTTCAATTTTCTATGTGGTTTCACCACATAGAGACACTATATAGAGTTTCCATGGCTGTAAATCTTTAAGGGAGTAAAAAACTTAATAATTTTAGTAGAACACCCTCATATTTTTGCCGTGGAATGGCTGGTAGTTTCGAAGAGCTGACCGTGAGGTTAACAGCCAGACTCATAACCGCTACCTACAGAGCTCCTTATATCAGCACATACCCTGCAGAGAATTCCAACATCAGGCTGACTGAATGCCCCAGTAAGGCATGAAAATAAGGAGTATGAGTGGTGTCTGGGAAACCAGAAAAACAAGACAGATGTAAAAGGACAAAACGAGATAATATTGGCTCACGGTAAGCATTCATTAAAAAAAATAATAAAGTGTATTATGCTGGGCATCCTCCGTTCCAATTCATACTTCCGCAGAGCGATTCGTAGTTTCGAACTTCTGATTTTAAGATTAACGGCCTAATTTGTGACTACAACGCTACCAGAATTCCTTCCTATAACTAGGTCCAGTCTCAGAAACATCCACTCAATCTCCTTTCCTTGGCATGGTGCTCCACAAGGAGCAACCCCCGCCCTTCCAATCTCCCAGAATGCTCTGGGGCAGCTTCTGAGGCGGCCATTTTGACTGTGGGCAGCCGTAACGGAAGCTGCGCCTGCGTGGTCGCGGCCCTTCAGTCCTGATGGTCACGAGGCTGCAGAGAAACGGGCCACAATGACCCAGGCTGAGAAAGGGGACACGGAAAACGGAAAAGAAAAGGGCGGAGAGAAGGAGAAGGAGCAGCGCGGTGTGAAGCGTCCCATTGTGCCCGCGCTGGTACCGGAATCGTTGCAAGAGGTGAGGCGCCGGGGCCCTGTGGCACTGGGGAGGCGTGGCGGCCGTCGGAAAAGGCTCGGGTAACAGTCCTCCAAACCACCACCTAGGTGGGCGTTGAGAGGGGTTGTTTCGCCCGGGATTGGTGAGCACCCGGACGCCGGAGGCGAAGAAACGCGGCGCGTGGCGGGATGGGGCGGGTCAGTGCGCGCGCACCGCCTCTCCCCACTCTGCCCCGTCGGCTCCGCGAGGGCCTCTGCTCTCTGAGCCCCGCTTCCCCGACTGTAAAACCAGCGCTGGATGACTACCTTCCTCTTGTGTGCCGCGAGAACTAAAAAATGTATCGTTGGTGAAGTTTTGCTCCACTTATGGCGCACCGGAAGCAACAACCGATAGTTGTTAAGGGATATTTAGGTATTTGGCTTTTTGTTTTAAAGAAATCTCCGATATTGGAAATCATTTTAGTGTATAGAAGGGAAAAGGTAGCTTTGTCCAAATAAACATAAAGAGATATGTGCCCAATAATAGGATCAGATCTTAATCTGATTAACCAGAAAAATTACTGGCAACTGCACCGCAGGCATTTGTTGTTGTTATGTGCAGTGGAGTTGGTTCTGACCCATAGCAACCCTGTATAGGGCTTCCAAGGAGTATCTGGTGCACTTGAACCGCCGACCTTGCAGTTCAAACGGCTTTGCAGTCTGGTGCATTAACCCACAGTGCCACACCAGGATTCCTGGAGCAGTAGGAACCTGGAATATGTTGTTAAGTGCTTTCGAGTCGGTTCTGACTCCTAGCGACCCTATGTTTGGAGGACCAGCTGTTGGGTTTGAACCACCGACTTAGGAGTTAGCAGGCCGGTACTTATCCTACAGTGCCACAACAAAGGAGCGTTTTAAAAAGTTTGTGGAAAAATTTCCCCTATCTTTTACCTCCATTTTACCACCAACTTTCTGAAGCCCTCTACTATATCAGACATGTATCTTGTTAATACACATGTAACGTGACGTGTAATGTATGCATGTTTATGTATACAACGTACGTTAAAGTTCTAACAAATCAGTAAAGAAAATAGCAACATTCCAATAATAAACCTGCTAAAGTTCATGTACAATCCCACAAAAGAAATAACTCTTCACCCCTTCAGGTTGGTTCCAACTTATAACGACCATTTAGGATAGGGTTGTTGTTGTTAAGAGCCGTCGAGTCGATTCCGACCCATAGCGACCCTGTGTAGGGTATCCAAGGAGCAGTTGGTGAGCTTGAACCACTGACTTTGCAGTTCAAACGACTTTGCAGTCTGATGCATTAGCCCACAACGCCACACGTCAAAGGATATCCAAGGCTGTAATCTTTATGGTAGCGTAGTGGTTACGAATTGGGCTGTGAACTGCAAGGTCAGCAGTTCGAAACCACCAGCGGTTCCACGGCAGAAAGATGAGGCGTTCTGCTCCCGTAAAGATTTACAGCCTCGGAAACCCTGTGCAGGGTCGCTATGAGTCTGAACTGACTCCACGGCACTTAACAACAACAATCTTTATGGAAGCAAACGACCACCTGCTCCCCCTCTGAGTGGTAGGGGATTTGAACCACTAACCTTTAGGTTAGCAGTCCCACACTTAAGCCATGTTACCACCAGGGCTTCTAAAAGAATATTCCTGAAAGAAATAGGCTCTAATGCTTAGATTTTCATGTTGGATGTCTGTGAGCCAGTTTTCTTACTAGTAGATGGGGTGGGGTAATAGCCGCCTGGTGGGGCAGCTGTAAAATAAATAGCACCCTCAAGGTGCTTAGTGCAGATCTGTTTTTCCACCATCTAGTTGAGGGGACAGACTGGCTGGTCTCTAAAGACCTTGCTAGTTACCACCCTCTGAGTCTCCCAGAATTGGGAAGAGATGATAGATACAGAACATGGTATGGAACGGTTTGGGGTTTCCAAGGAGCAGCCGGTGGATTTGAACTACTGACATTATGGTTAGCAGTGTAGTAGTTATCCTGCAGTGCCACACCAGGATTCTGGAATTGAGGAAGAAGAGAGAGCAAGAGATAAGCGTGGAGATTCTAGCAGGGGTCATATGAGGACCAAATAAGCTAAACTTGGAACTATACTGAAGGCATTGGAGACTCTTGGAAGATTTTAATGTTATTAAGAGCTAGCATTCATTGGGACTTCTGGTGTGGCACTGTAGGATAAGCACTGAACTCAAACCTACCAGCTGCTCCTTGGAAACCCTATACAAGGTCACTGTGAGTTGGTACTGACTTGACAATGCTTAACCACAACAAGCATTCGCTTAATGCTTTGTGTGGCCAGGCTCTGAGCTACATGAGAAACTCTGAATCATCACAAAACCTCAGGTAAATCTAAAACAAGGAAGATCAAGGAAGTGGCAGAACTCAAACTTGAGTTCTTCGTAACCACTAACATTTCCTTAACTTCGGTAGTCACTTTATACCATTCTGATATTTTCATACCTTCTATGGCAGCTGTAAGGAGCCCTGGTGGTGCTGTAGGGTAAACACTGGACTGCGGACTGCAGGGTTGGTAGTGAAACCTAGCAGCCTCTCCATGGGAGAAAGATGAGGCTGTGAACATTACTGCCTCTGTAGACAGTCACCATGAGTTGGAATCAGCTTGATGACAGTGGGGGTGGGGGGTGACAGCTGTAAGGAGTCTTGGTGATGTAGCAGTTAAGTGCTCATTTGCTAACTGAAGGTTTGGGTATTCAAACCCACCCCGCCACCCCCAGTTCTGTGGGAAAAAGATACGGCAGTCTGCTTCTGCAAAGATGGTACAGCCTTGGAAACCTTTTGAGGCAGTCCTCCTCTATCCTCTAGGGTTGCTCTGGATTGCAGACAACTCAGTAGCAACAGAGTTTGGTTATTTTGGCTCTAATTTTAATGTTGAGAATATACACAAAGCATAAATTAATTCAACCATGTGTACACTTAAGTGACATTGATCACATTCTTGAATGTGCAGCCGTTCTTACTCTCCTTTTCTAAGTTGTTCCTCCTGTTAACAATATCATTGCTTCCTAAGGTTCCTATTGAATCTTTTGAATTGCTTTTGCCACTTTGATCCCATTTAGATAAACTTGAGCAGTTGTTGTTAAGTGCCATGGAGTCAGTTCTGATTCACTTCTGTATAGGGTTTCCTATGAGCAGCTTGTGAGTTTGAACCACTGACCTTGCAGTCTAGTACTTATCCTACAGTGCCATGCCAGGACTCTGTGCTCATATTAATTTCTACTCTGATCCTTTTGACCACTGGTTAGCAAACCAGAGTGATCATACTTAGCACCTTTGGAGATTTTTGAAATTGAAATTCCTAGGATCATCTCTCCCTGGAGATTCTGAATCGGAAAATTTGTAATAGACTCAAATTTTTTTTTTTTTTTAAACAAAGTGTTTAAATGATTTGGATTTAAGGATAGGCTTGGAAACCACTGTCGTGGCTATGTGTTACTTAAGAAACCAGGACTTCACTGTTGTAGTATGTATTCCCTGTGCTCTTACTACAGTTTTCTTCCTTAGTAAATGAAAAGTTCTCTGATGATAGATATAATCTGCACTTGTCATCACTGTACCCAGAGCGCCTAACTTGTAAAAGTTCAATAATTACATGTTGTTTGCATTAGATAATTTTGACTTCATTCATTTACATAAGTATTTGTTGAACTATCTTTTATGAGTCCGATGCTGAGAGTACACTGATACAGACTGAGTTTACTTTTAGACAGAGAACAACTATATTTGGATACCTCTGAAAGAACACCCTTTACCAAAGTCCTTTGATACCTTTGAGTTCAGCAAGCATTATTGGAAACTGACTTGTTTTAGTTTAGCATGCTTTTTGTTTGGTGCCATCGAGTTGGTTCTGACTCACAGTGACCCTATATAGGGTTTCCAAGGCTGTAAATGTTTGCAGGAGCAGAAAGCTTCATCTTTCTTCCTGAAACCATTGATCTTGTGGTTCTTACAATCCAATGTTTATCCTAAGTGCCACCACACTCCCTTTAGTTTGTTACCTATGTGTTACTTAACTTCTTACGTGCATATTATTTTCTAATACTGTACTGTGTTTCATACTCATAGCAAATCCAGAGCAACTTCATTGTCGTCATTCATCCAGGGTCAACAACTCTGAGGATCGGTCGAGCGACAGACACACTGCCTGCCAGCATTCCTCACATCATTGCACGGAGACATAAACAACAAGGGCAACCCTTATACAAGGACAGCTGGCTACTACGGGAGGGATTAAATGTAAGTCATAACGTGGGGAAAAGAATATCTGAGATTTTTTTTCTCTTGCAAGGCTTAGATATGCAAGTGTAGCTAGTAATCTTGAATAAACATTTTCAACTTTAATGTGTCTTAAAATAATAACATCATTCGGAGTTACAAAATACCCTTTCTCATAAACGATTATAGGTAGTAAATGATTATTATAACAAAAGTAAAGCTTGTTTTTTAAAACTCATCAGATGAATTCAGTGTTGATGTTTTTGGAAGCTATAAGAGGACTTCCATTATCATTGTCTTTTAATTTAATTTTTCCATGAACTTTTTAAAGCCGCCTCATACAGACTTACTGTTCATTTAAAATGATACATTTGAGACTTTATTAATGGACTGCTGTATTTCTGTATTAAAGGAGTCCTGGTAGCATTGGGCTGCTAATTGCTTAGTCGGCAGTTCAGACCCACCAACTGCTCCCTGGGCGGAAGATGACGTCTGTTTCTGTAAAGATCTGCTGTCTCAGAAACCCTAGGGAGCAGTTCTGATTGTTCTGTAGGGTCTCTGTCCATCGGAATTGACTTGATGGCTATAGGTTTGGCTTAGTTTGGGATATTAACTGTTTTGAGATAGTTTAAATTAGGCTAACATTTTCAACCCAGTAACTAACTGAATACCCCCAACAAGCACTCATTACAATCTTAAATCAGTTTAGAGGCAGAAACATGTATTTCCTTGAGATAAGCGTTTACATGACCCTGTTTTACAGGTGGTAATTACTAGGTTGGCCCAGGATTGGGCAGTGTTTGTTCTGCTGTGCATAGGGTTGCTATGAGTCGGTACTGACTGATGGCACCGAACAACATCATCAACAATTACTAGGTAATATTTTCATGAGAAAAAAAAAACAAAAAACCCCTTAATATTTACTTTTAACTTTCAGGTTTTAAATCAGGATAGTTTCAGAAACTTGCAGTTTCTATAATTCTGATATTCCTTTTTTTTTTTTTTTCTTTTTTCTAGCATAACTATCAGACTGTATGTAAATCCAAACCAAAAATAACAAGTAAACCCATTGCCTTCAAATCTTTTATAACTCATTGCAATCCTATAGGACAGAGTAGGACAGCCCTATAGGGTTTCCAAAGCAGTAAACTTTTATGGAAGCAGAATGCCATGTCTTTCTCCTTTGGAGGAGC